GGCCACATAAAATGATGTGGCGGGCCACATCTGGCCCCCGGGCCTTGACTTTGACACCCGTGTTCTATTCTATGCACCTTATAATGCAGTGCGCCTTAAATATGAAAACAGTTATAAAATATAAATTCGTTGAAGGTGCACCTTATACTCCGAAGCGCCTTATAGTGCGGAAAATACGGTCCATATTTACTTTTGACGCATGCACGCGGGCACACAAAGTGAACTTGCAAGAGCAACAACACGCCGCCCAAAAGGACATGTTGTCACATGCAGAGCGTACCAAACCCTTGTGAAAATATATAAAGAGAAAATATGCTCAAATACACTTTAAAAGCGTACACAATATGCCGAAAATATGTTTGCGTACAAATCGCCATTCCTGTCGCTCTCCAGAATAAATCCACGGAGCACTGTTGATCGAGCGCATGAGATGCCAAGTGGAGAGCTAATGGCTATTCTCATCTTACCTTCACCACAGCATGCCAACAGACTTCATTTCACATTTAGAAGACTGAATCTCTGTGCTCGAAAAATGCTACAAACACTTTTTCCATTCATCCTGGAAACACGGGTTCAGCTATTTAAAAAAACAAACAACAACAAAAAAAAAAGGTGCATTGTTTACTCACAGTTCTCTCTGTATTTGCTCAGGCCGCGAGCGTTAGTTTCGGCTCAGGATGCCGGCCCGTGCACGTGGACGCCTCTTGCGCACAAAAGTCCCGTCAGTGCTGCCGCCTCCGCCGCCGTCCCTTGAGGTCATCAGAGTGTCACGGCCCCACGGTGCCGCCTGTAATAAATGAAAGCAGTATTAAGGTCCTCATATATTTATTTCGATATCTTTTGAGATCACTTTTATAGATAGTCACGCGACATAAAATGCCACCAGGTGACAGTATCACTCTAAAATTGCCTTCCAGTTCCCTCAGCATGGCTTGGCCAGTTGGGGGCAGTAGAGGATAGTCATACGGATACAACTGCACATGGAGCCGCTCTCAGCTCCTCATATCGGCGCTAATGCTTGTCTTTCTTCGTAGAAGATGAAGAATACATGACTGAGGGGGGTTTTTGTGGTCTGTCTACGTGTGTTGCTGCACCGTTTATATTCACATAACCATTATTTGAAGCGTCATTGCACACAACGTAAAAGCTATTCGTTAGCCAGTCAATGGTGTTTCCCCACTGTGTTAGCATCAATCTAGTAGCCTTTTCAGGCATAGCAATGCCACTGTTTTAAATACACAAACATGTAATTCTCTTATGTTTGATGGTGGTAACCTTCAACTGGCAGTGAAAATTAACACGTTGAAGCCTGTTTTCGAATAGTTGTTTCCTCACTCTATCTGCCAAATGGCTGATTGTTTAGAATCGAATTTGCTGCAACTATACAGCACTCAAAGTTTATGCTCGCAAGGCACAAAAAAAAAAAAAAAACAGCACCATTGTATTTAAGTTTTATTAGTTTTGCTGTACTGTGGTTGACTTCTCATTATAAAGCGGTGCCTCTTCAGTTAAAGGGGAATGATGCCGACATTGATTCATTTTGAGGAACATGGAAGGCTAGTTCAAGCGTATTTTTGTAAGCTGTGCTTGTTGACGTGCCGAATGAAGCAGCTGCCTGAGAACAATGCGAATCCCCCCCCCCCCAAAAAGTTGGCTTTTGCACCATGCGCAGGCTACAGCGTCTGGGTTCGGACATCAGTGGCTGGGAAAAGAACAGATGTGCGAACAGCCAATCCAGCTGTGGTGCAACACATGATAAGTGTGGGACAAATGGGAGGAAAGAGGGGGGGGCAATGGGAACTCTCAGGCGTTTCAACTGTTTGCAATGAAATGAAGTCAACTTCGCAAAATTTGATCTAGCAAGACACTACATTGTAATTTGATATAAAAAAAAACACCAACGTCTGCTCTAAAACGTCATTTATGTGTTCTCATTGACACAAAAGAAAACACAAGCACTTTTATGTTTCGCCAAATACTTTGGTCTCTGCACTTGACTGGCGACCACTCCAAGATGTACCCCCCACCTCTTGCCTGAAGTCAGCTGGGATGAATCCAGCACACCGGCGACACGACCGAGCATCAGCGGTGCAGAAAATGGGGGACTGGATACTACGGTCGACATCTATCTCCGTCTATAATCGCAGTTTTTCCACCAAACCACGAGGTTGGGTCAGGAACATTTCCCTCGCGATAATGAATGTCATGCGAATCCGCTTGTGTACGCACACACAAGGCGCAAATGGTCAGAAGGCAGCTGCTCATCAAGCTGTTTTGGATTGTGTGACTGCAAAGCCAACCTGCTCACACGGTGGCCTCGCATCACAAGAGCAGACACAGATGCTGCCTTGAAGAGGTGCGAAAGGACACGGAGGTTGGCGTTTCACCCCCGAGGGGAAGAAAGTGCGGCGGCGGCAGTCCTGAGCTGCGTGCAACATGCTGCTGCCATGGAAACTCCCATAAGACAAACGGTCTGGCAGAAAAGCACGGCACGGTAATTTCCTGACCTTGAAATCTCAATGCTGCTCGTCTGGATGGCAGGTGGAGATGGAGAGCCGCAAAAAAAAAAAAAAAAAACCCCAAAACAAAAAACATGATTTTTTTTTTTTTTTTTAAACTGGAAAGCCAACCAACGCCTTGTGTGAAAGGGATCTTGGAAGCCAAATGGTCGGGATTGATTTATTGGATACAGAGTCCATTTGTATCCATTTCCACACGGACAGGGCGTAGGATTATAATCTGACAGGGGGGAGAAAAAAAAAAAAGTGAAGAGTGAAGAAAGTGACAGACTTGTTTTCCTGCGCCGCTTAGTTCACTTCGAGCGTACAAAGGGATAATCCCTTCTTAATAGACTTAAAGGCACTTTAACTGATCTCCCAGCTGTCTGCGTCGCCGCCGGGGAAGCCTTCCTTCCTTCCGATCCAGGTCAGAATCCGACGCACATTCCAAAAGTGCCTCAGATGGACTCAATCTCCCAGGCACGAAATTCGCAAATTGAATGGCCGTCCAGGCACGCACGGTGGAGGGGAAAAACATGGATTGGTTTGTGGAATTCCAGATGTAAATTAACACCCGGATTAAGGACATCTTCAAACGTTCTCACATTAGAGGGAACGAGAACATTTCAGGATTGCTCTGAGGAAATCGTTTTTCCCATTTCGTGCCAGCGAGGAGACTGCGCCGACAACTATGGCAAAATGGAGGCTGTCGAGCTCAACCCTGCAGGCATCTGGACTAAGCTAATGTTAGCAAGTACCTCTATTGTGGATCATTTTTTAGCTAGGTGTCCTTTTATCAGGACAATGAATCTGCTTGCAAAAAATACAAAAAAAAAATTACTTCACTCAACTATCGAGCTTTTATCTACCAAGAGTCAATGAATGGATGTCAAAGTTCAGAGTCGATGTTGATAATTTTTCAAAAAGCAAAGCTGAAGCTGCCACTTTTCTCCAGCAGATGGCAGCGCAGAGCCAATTTGTTGTGGCGACTCAGCAGATTTCAGCATTCAGCAAAGTCACACAACGTCATCTGATGGCCTTTTTGCTCCGCGCTTGTGCTAGTGCTAGTTTCGGGGCACCAACTACGTCAGGGGGCGGGGTTATCATGAAGATCGCAGATGTAGAGGAATGACTCCCTGGGACGCACGGAAGCTTTGCACAAAGTGTTGAGCGGTGAACTCCGGCAAGATTGCTGGCCCACCAGAAGAGCGAACGCGGGATAGCATGCGATCGCCAATTCGCCACCAGACTCGTGATCATCTACAACGATATAAGCGTTTGCTGATTGCGTGTCCCTGACCGTTACATACGACATGCAAGTATAATTGATGCTATGCTATTTTGTTGAGCAGATGCTAACAGTGCATTATTCTTATTACTGGTTGTAAAGTGTCCTTGAGTGTTGTGAAAGGCGCTTGTAAATAAAATATATTATTATTACTGCTATTATTAGCGCAGGCTAGCTAATAACTAATAAGTAGTGCAGGCACCAAATTAGGTTTTTTTTTTGGGGGGGGTGTGGAAAAGGGGTATGAGCTTGTGCCTGAGCCACACAGCTGGCGCTTTTGGAAATAAATGTCAGAAAGAGTGACTGACTTTAATCTGGCTCCATCGATTGAAGTACACGATTCAATTTATGGATTGTTCACCGACCAGGATGTGCTTTTGTCACCGGAAAAGCATCAACTGCGAGTAATATAATGCTCACAAAAAGGTTGCGACGTCCCAATACTGCTGTCAATACGAAGAAGCAACAGCATATGCGCCTTATCTTAAAGTTTGCTAAACGGTAAATAATTCAAGCGGCGAGTGAGAAGGAATGTGGGTCAGAGCTGATCTGCATACGTCTCCAAGCGAGCCCACGGCACGTAAATGCGGAAACGCACTGCAGGTTGAGCATCACATCGATTGAGGTTGTACATTGAGTGCGAGCGCGGCATGACAATGGCCTGCGTCGATGGCGTGACGAGTTGACAGCTGTTTGGCATGCGAATCGGGGGTACTTTGAGGTCATCGACATGGAAATAAACTTCTTTGGATGTGATGCTTCCTAAGCCCCCTCGAAATGAAGGCGGAAAAACAAATCTGGGGACAAATAAAGCTGGATGGGTCGACTTAGGTGCGATCACTCCATTCGTCAAGTCAATGCATCAATGCTAAAGATTTGGCTGAAAATAGGAAGTAGAAAAAGGTGGCAAAAACAAGTCTGCTCCACCGGTGTTAAGTGATATAAATTATGTTTGCATCGCGGCATGGGCCGATTACCGTTACGGTTTTCCAAAGTCAAGGTTTCAATTACCATCACCGGTAATAACCACTTATTTTCTATTTGAGGGGACTTTTTTTTTTTCCCTCTCTCGTTCTCAGCTGAGCAGAGAGGGGAGGGGTGAGCACCTGCACATGGGCGGGCGGAGGGCCAAAGACGGGAAAATAGAAGGATGACTTTTTGCATTGTCGATTCATGCGCATTGTTCACATGTTGCCAGGGGGTACTAGTTAGCCCCAAGGACAACGTGAGCAGCCTACAGGTCTACCAGGAGTGGGACACTGTGCCCTACTAAGACGAAAACGTTCAGTCTTTTTATGTCTTTCAATTTAACATGGTACACGCTTCTTAATGTGCCAAATAGTAGAAATTTTAAATAAAATGCATTGTGTTCAGCAAAAGAAAAAAAAAAATGGCCGTTTACATCTAATTACCCAAATATTGAAAAAGGACATTCTAGAGATGTCATTTTAATACGATGACATTTTTGCTCAAGGTTATCGTACGCCCAGAACTGACTATCAACCCAAGCGGTTGATACGCTGCTTGCTGAGCTTCACCGCACTCAAGAATGAAAAGGAAGACAATGGATCAAAATTTGGGGCAAATTGATGCGGACATGCGCACGATGGCGTGGTTATCAAGCAAACAAACCAACACAAAAAAAATTTCCTTCTTCAGTCAAGACAAGCTAAGCTTTCGCTGAACTAGGGAAGAAGACAAAAAATGATGCATTTAGCGTCTCTTAACAGGCCTAAAGCCACTTTTGATTCAACTCCAAACGTTAGTCGTTCCTGGTCGAAGTGTAAGCGCAAACTAAGCGCCGGCGCAGTGATTGACGGGTGATCAGTTCACTTGTTAAGCGGCAACGCACGGAGGCAAAGAAAAGGATGTGATGAGCTCATGGCACACAATCACGCTTGATGACGCCGAATCGGAGGCCTTTAAACGTACGCGCGTCGCAGGAAACGAGAGAAAAGCCCTTCAATTTCCTCCTTCCTTAATCTCACGCTGCCCACACGGCGCGGGGAAGGCACTTCTCCTTCTGTTTCAAACTTCCCGTCCTTCCTCCCGACACCCGTGACGCGATGTTATTCGCGGCCCGCTTTCTCTTATCGAGCGGGCTCCCGCAAAACAAGCGTTTAATCTTAAAATAAACATAGCGGCGATAAGCGATTCCAAACGACTGAAGCTTCTTCGGCTTCAGGAATGCGTCGCGCCACCTGTGAGACTTTCACCCGTTCCACTGGTCTTTTTGCTTTGAGATCATTCCCGCCGGTCAGGAGGGCCGGGGGTTCGTTTGCAACACGAGTCGGGCGCTATTTTGAAAATCAGGTTTCGGGGGGAGGAGCTTTCGAGACATTGGAAAAGCCATTACAACTCACAAGTGAGTGCATTACTTCGCAATAACCTTGAATGTCAATGTACCATCAATCATAAAAAAAAAATAAATAAATAAAATTAAATACAGAGGTGCGCCGATTTACTGATTCGACAACTAATCAATGACCGTATTTTCCACACTAAAAGGCGCACTGGATTATGGGGCGTACCTTCAATGAATGGCTTACTTTGTAATTTTTTTTCATATATTGGACGCACCGCATTATAAGACGCAATCTAAAATGTATCCACTAGATGGAGATACGCTCGAGGAAACGCCAACAGAACGATCAGATGTCAGTAAATCTTATTTAATCAAGCTGAGACACAGTTCACTTAACCAACAGCAAGTTGTTGACTCGTTAACGTTGAACTCTCTTGCCGCTGCTCGATTTCCGTGTTCAACTGCGCAACTCGATTGCCTTAAGTTTGAACTCTGCGTTGTAAGCTTGTCTCTACCAAGGAGCCATTTTGGGGTTGACACATTACCATAATAACCATACACAAGGCGCATCGGCTTTTAAGGCGCGCTGTGAGCTTTTAAGAAAATGGAAGGCCGTTAGGTGTGCCTTTTAGTGCGGAAAATACGGTAGCAAATGAATCCATTTTCAAATCTTGTAAGGCTAGAAATAACTTTTTATCTTTGAGGAGTACTTTTGCTCATTGTTTGACTTAAGGAGCAACGTTGTCACGTGATCGATATCACATTCAAGAGAAAAGAATCTGAAAGCAAACCCCGCACAGTGCCGCGGTCGGCAACCCGCAGGGGCCTGTGCCAAGCAGTCGGCTCTTTCCGAAATAAATATCAGAAAGAGTGACTTGACTTTCATTTGGCTGCATTGATTGAAGCACATGATTCAACTGACGTATTGTTGAAGAAGGAGAAGCCGCCGACACCACCGAAGCAGTAGCTTAAACGAAGACTGAGAAGTCGGTGCGGCAGCACGGGAAGCGAACGAGAGCGTGGCGGGATGTTGTTCAAATAAAAGACCAGTCAGTTCAGTCAACTCTTCCAATAAGATGATCTTGTGCACACTAACCCGGTTTCACACCTCCGGAATGGAGACGTAGCGCGCATGGGAATGATTTCGGCAGGAGACGCCACCATTTGCCATCAATGGTTCCAAAAAGGTCACATGATTAAAAGTGCAGGGGAGAAAATAGGATCAACATTTGATCAACACGTTTTGGCAGATGCAGACGGCATCCTTGCTCAACCAGAGCTGAGATATTTTAGTCACTCTTTTGCTCTCTATGTGCAATCTTTCGGGGAGCTGAGTTATCGATCCTGACAAGCGGAAGATTGGGGAAACTAAACCATTTTTCTCTCTTGGCTTGAAATGAAATAAATACATTAAGTCCTGAGGACTGTGTGCGCTTTAGTTAAAAGGACAAATGCAGAGACGTGTGCGTCTTCTGACCGACCCATGACAGCAATTCAATCAACTTCATAATTGTTCAAGGAAGAAGAGGCCTGGAGGTTGTTCAATTGGGAATTTAAGTGACATTTTCAAGACCCAGAAGCTGTCCGACAAAGAGCCAGCAGACCCGCAGAGCGAAAAAAAAGAAGAAAGATTTAAAGAAGCAAAACCTGACCAGGCGCTTCCCTTGAAGCGGTGCAGCCATTGTCGGCTTTGCAGTCTTGGTTTCGTGGAAACGGCATGCGAGTTACGCCATCCCACGTGACCTTATTCGGTCCATCAAATCAAATCTGCATTTCAATAAGAAACAAACTTCAAAAAATGTGGAATGCAACATTCAATTGCCTTTATCTTAGCACAAGCTTTACCTGTATGACCAAAACATTTATGTGGAATAAATCTGATTATATTTATGATACTACGGATGATTTTTTTTGTTTGTTTTTTTGTTTGTGAAAAACCACCGGAAGAGGACCTTATGCAATATAAAATATTGCATCCCTACTTTTAATAACCAGACAAGAGAAAACGTGAGAGATCATTCAAAACATTTATCTTCATGTTAATCAGATTCAAATTAAACGTCTGGACTTTTCAGAGAAGCGGAATCATTCAACGACAAAAGAAAATGAATTGGTCGCTGGTCAGGTAACAGTCATATTCACCGTGAAAAAAATATTTCACAAATTACACTATGTGAACTTCTGGGCATGACCACACGTATAATATAATCAGTTATGTGTTACTTGAAAATATATATATATATATTAAGAATAGCCAAGTTTTAGAATTGAACTGCGTTCATTTGATCTGACTGAGCTCTTGATGACATGCAGATGTAGAGACAACTATTAGTCTGCAATAAATACTATAATGTTCTCCCAGTCCTTCGTTTCAAGATTTTTTTTCCTCAACCGAACTACTTTCCATTTTAGTTTAACACCCCTGATTGTCCAAGGAGCCTCCGCTTCTTGTTGCACCTCTACAGGAACTTTGCATTAGGCTGCTCACACTCAAGGCTGCCTCCTATCAGGTGCTGGTGGCCGTGGGTATACTTTACAGCATTTGGGATGTAGTCCATTGCTCAATGAGACTTCTAATCTCTCGAGTTGCTGCTGTCGTAATTATTCAGCAAGCTTGTTGACTGTCCAGACATCATCCAGTGACAAATATTGAAGCTCGGGAGGATCATGGTGCAAAATGTTACGTGTGGCGCAACAGCGGGAGCCAAGTTAAGCTTCTTCAATGGAAGTCCGGGCAAAGTTAGTTAGCGAGTTGGAGAAGTAATGTGCGAACTCGGCTTCTTTTATTTTGGCCTTGGCAGCATCTTTTTAAAAGATGCACCGACCGCGTAAATACACAGGACGCCATCCGGGTAGTTGACCTCTGGGGAGAGAAATGCAAATTGAATGTTTTTAAGGGAACAAGCACAACAGCGGCGCTATACTTAGCACGTCGCAAGAAAGCTAATGCTAAGATGCTAGGCCCGCGAAGTGGTGCCTCGCTCGCCGGTTTGTGTGTGCGGAAAATGCCCAGATCTGTTTACCTCACAAGCGCGAGGACGGCCAGTGACGACGGGCCTCTCCGGTAGCTCCTTGCGGCGGTGAATCCGGAGCGAAATATCCTCATGGGCCACAGGGAGCAAACGCCGGGAGGAGTCTACGGTGGGATGATGCCCTCCCTTTCGTGTCTTCTCTTCCCACTGTGAAGCGCTCTGGTACCGCTGGTGACCACGTTAGCGGCACCGGCTAAAACTTAGCATCCGTCCGCGCGAGGGTGCTCGTGAAAAAAAAAAACACCGCTAGCATTAGTCGCTTGCCTCAAAGCAGTCCGGGAGGTATATGCCGTTCGCACGGCTGCTTCTGAGTCCGTCACGGCCTGTGATTGTGACGGAAGGGGCCGCGTTTTAGCGGGAGCAGACAGCTTGTCAGAAGGGAGCAATTTGGCTTTGAGTGCCGCCAAGTGTTACCGCTAGCTTTCGGATCCTCTCAGTTGACAAATGGCCGTCGCGCGAATGTGACGTTGGCATCTGCTTTCAAGCAGGCGCTCGGAAATGACGTATGTTCTGGCTCAGTGGCGCAAAAAAAAAAAACAAGATTTTGTCGGTTTTCGATTTCTTATAAATTGTGTGTGTGTGTGTGTGTGTGTGTGTGTATGTGTGTATATACTCTCTCTCTCTCTCTCTCCCTCTCTCTCTCTCTCTCTCTCTCTCTCTCTCTCTCTCTCTCTCTCTCTCTTAACCATCACACTGACATTTTTGTTCTCTTTTTCTCCCTTTTGTTTTCCTTTTGGCCGCGAGGACTAATCCAATTCTTTCCAGCATATTGAGCATCTGCATTGATGTCATACATACAGTGCATGCTGCCGCCGCTGCTCGTCATTTCCATGCCTGGTGTGGGAATCCTCCAGGGAACATCTGAAAGTGGGAGATATCGCCGAGGGCCAAGCATGTGATGCTGAGCTGTGTGCACTCCATACTGGTTTATGGTCAAAAGGATGCTGAAAAGCACACCCATGCCAAAAAAAAGTGGAGCTGCACAAATCCACACTTTTCTGAGTAAATACTGTATTACCAGGAACATCAAATAATTGTCAATAACATTAAAATCTGATCCATCTTCCACAGATACATCATCATGTAGTTTGTTATACTGAGGAAAAAAAAAGTGGTGCAGTTCCGACTCCACTTATTATTGATGACAGGGCAAAGAACCATTCCACATGACTCATTCGCTCACAGTCTAGTAGTCTGTGCGACATCCTGTCAAATAATTCGCCATCAGATCATGTAGAATCAATTCGTGAGAGCGAGTTCCATCTCTAAATATGTTTCACATGGAGAATCGCGAGTTCTGTCAAAGACGTTGTCAAGGAAACCTTTCGACAAAATTCGAAAGGATTCACACATTGCTAATTATAGAAGCGGAAACCCAAGGGCTAGCTCATGACCATCAAAAACTTCAATACAGTTCATTTTTAATAAATTTTATTTCGTTGAACATTTCATACCTAGCATATTTACAAAAACAAAAAAGACTCACAGAAAGTAGCAACTTTGGCTGTGAGCATTTGTGTATTTACAACAGAATACCAAATCCAAATTGCATTAGCGTTGAGATCAGTGCCACAAACACAAACTGCAACAAGGGATCCGAAATGTCTTTATACGGTCGATATCAACGCCTCTGTTCAAATGTCACATTGAAAAAAAAATCTGAGCTGTTCTGGTTGGCGTTTCCTGACATTTGAGTTGCTTTCCAGCAGACACCTAAAGGTCTGATGCTGCGAAAGGTCTCCGCTTGTAAGCCGAAACTCCAAAACTTTCAGGAAAAGCTTGCTACAACATCTGAACTTTGTTTAGGGTTACTTGAAATGGCGGCTGTTGCGCGATGCACGCGTTTGAAAGTGAGTGGTTCATTCCGAACACGAGCACATTCCCAGATATAAAAGGGTGTGCACACTTGTGAAACCGCGTTCTCTCACTTGTTTATTTTTACTTCCCCTTTTAAAAACTTTTTTTTTCAACTAAGTTGTACAGGTTAACTCTCACATTAATAGTGGGAATAGCTTTGCAAATGACTTATCTTGGTCTCATTTTTTTAATACCGCATAACCTGACCATTTGAACAGGGGTATGCAGACTTCTTATATTCACTGTTTAACCAATTGAGTAAAATTCTGGAGAACCCCTGCCAAGACTTTTAATATGAGTTTATGACTCATTGTTTTGTTGCAAAGTTTCACCTGTGTGAGTTTAATATGGGGTGACTTTTTTTCCAGAATAAAGGGGAAAAAAAAAGCATTTGTAATGTTTGTTTGTTTTTTTTTTTTTTGGGGGGGGGGTCATCATATGAGGGCATACTGAGAAAATAAATACAAATTTGTGCGTGAGCATGTGTGCGTTTTGATTGATTTTTGACCTTCTCGCCAGCTCTGTCGCAGGGCTGCTATCTGTTGAAAATTCTCAGGATGAAATTTGACGTTGACTGCATTTCCCCCAGATGAGCAGACCCCATAGCAAAAAAAAAAAAAAAAACTTCAGGGTGTGCTGTGGTTTGCTTTTTCCACGCCATTAACCTGCAGACAAAGAAAACAATCAAAGGGAGAGGCAATTCGCGATGACCACAATGGAACAACAGAGGGGGAAGTCTCACTTCCCAGTATGTATCTACATTATTCTCATTTGACATAAAAAAAGATTTTTCGAAGGGAGAGGCAATTCGCGATGACCACAATGGAACAGCAAATGGAACTTATCAACAGAGGGGGAAGTCTCACTTCCCAGTATGTAACTACATTATTCTCATTTGACATAAAAAAAAGATTTTTCAGTATTTTCACCACGGCAAATAAATTTCTCCCTGGATTTTGTATATTGGCTGCCATCTGCTGCCTCGTTTTTGTCATCGCTGCAACCCAATCGCAGGACCTGTCTGCGTATCTGAACCACACGAGTGACATTCCGGTTGTGCTTTCGTCATCCCGGCAATTGACCTTTGACCTTTACAGAGTCCACGACAGTGTTTTTTTTTCTCCCTAAATGATGTGCGTGGCGCAGGCATCTTGGCGCGCCGTTGAACGTCTCCTTGCATGATGTGGGAATAAATACAGAAAAAGGCCATGCGGAGCCTCAGTGAGGTTGAGTAAGTGGACTTCGGCCTTCCCCGTTTAGGAGGAAGGAGGTCATCCATGTTGCACCATAGGGGCCCTTAGTGTCGTAACTGCTGACACGTGTGTGTCATCACCCGTCAGTCACACGCATGGAAACATCGGGAACATAAGTAAGACTAACTTGCGTCCATAGCGGGAGCTGTTTGCAATATTTTTACCCTCTTGCAGGTCCAACCGAAATATTCGGAACAGCGAGCCTGCGCTGTGACATAATTTAATCAAAATACACCGAGGAATTTATTTATGTAATTTTTTTGTAGATACTGTATTTAATATACATATTTAATTGTTTACATATATGTGGAAATACTGTACAACAAACATTATTATTATTTTTATTTTATTTTTTAACATCCCCTGTCAAGTGATATGAAGTGGATAAAAACTGTATCAAGGTACCGTCTTTGATCATCCACTGGTCCAGTTCTTCCATTTCCAGCTCCAAAACTGAAGGGACGTCTTCTTCAAACATGGGCCTGGACGCACAAAACGGCATTTTGACCACCTCGCTACAAATGTTTCGTTAGGGTCACTTCATTCAAAATGCGTACAAAAGACTTGCTATCGGTCACAAGGGGAAACAAAGGTTGTCGAATAACGAGCCCTCTTGGAGTGAGCTACTTTATTGTGTCAGCTTATTTTCCAAATAAATTCTGATCAAACTTGAGCTTTTTGATGAATAAACAAATAAAGTCCAAAATTAAATGGAACGTCATGAAAAAGTGTGCACATCGTGAATTAATGCTACGCTACAATCCAACCGATTTTGCTGCTCCTCCTGGTTTGCTGGCCTTGGTAGTGAATAATTCAGTTATGCAGATACTGCACAAACAAAGCAGAAAATTACTTGTGCTGTAACTGTAAGAGACTCAGCAAAATGCAGCAATGTTTGTCATTTTCTTTGTGGAGGATAAAGAATATATGCCTGTGAATAATGTTATATTATCCTTTTCCCTGTGTTTCTCCACAGTTTGCATTCAAATACCAGTTGCTTAGAAGGCTGTTTCGAGTGAACCAAATTTTTATATATTTTTTTTCCCTTCTCACCACCATAGATTGATTCTGTAATTGTATAAAAATAAGTATATCCACATACATTGGCACTTTCTCTGTGCTGGAGCCATCCAGATATGGATCCTCCTTTCTGGACTCTAAAACGAACAAAGCAAAACAAAACAGAATTTGGCATGTCATTGAACTTACAGGGTACATCTTGTGCCACTGGAACAACGTACCTCGAACGGCAGCCTCCATTTTGAACCTGCGATTGAGGAAGAGGGCGAACATGATGATGGCGATGATGAAGACCACCAGGGCCACCGGGATGAGGATGACGGTGATGCTGAGACCCTCGTCACTCTGGGGGCTCAAGGTCGAGACCAGCGAGTTGGGGTCATCTGTGCTCCCTTCTGACAAAATAATAATCAGAATGATAATAATAATAATAACAATAATAATAATAATAATAATAATAATAACAATAATAATAATAATAAGCACATATATATAAATATATATGCATCAAAAATATTGTACCTGCACTGTCCACTCCTGAGCCGAGATCTTCTGTTTTATCTTCTGGTGCCAATGCTGAAAAATAATGAGAAACTTTCCTCAAAAATGTCATTTGGCTCTTTTCAGCTGAACAGAAATGAAAGGGACCTCTGATCGGACCTGGGTCCATGTCGCTCTCCTGGCTGGGCGAGGGCTCCAACGTTGGTGGGGCGTCCGAGCTGGATGATACGGGCTCTACAAAAAAAAATGGTTGTTGTGCAGCCACCATTCTCTTCTTAGCAAAATTAACATGGATGCTAGGATATTTCTACATTGGTTAAATTCTTTTTACACTTGAACGGTATGAATGTTTGAAAATGAGACCAATGATATGATTGATCAAAGATTTTTTTCTGATGACAGTAATTATCACGATTATATATATTTTTATTATTAATAGTTGTTGAAATAAATGTCAATAGCTATCCATTGCCCATGTTCTTTTTTGGGGGACTATTTTGCCCTTATGTACTGCATAAGTCTTCTAAAACATTCAACTTGTCAATTTAGTTTGATGAGAAAGATGGCAGACGGCTTGTATGTATTGTGACGTCAAGTCCAACCTGAGGTTTCCATGTCCTCCACGACTTGTTCTTGGTCTTCTGTCACTTCTTCCACTGTTTGGCTTTCTTCTTCCGTCCCCTCATCTGGGCTTGACACTACCACAACAACAACAAACCACTTTTATGAATCGTGCAACGAGCCAATATCATGTAGGAAGAATTCATCGGTCTAAAAAAAAAAAAAAAAAAAAAAACCCCAAACCAACCAATTTCTGTCCTGGGTCTCAAGTCATTCGGAAGCCTCCCTTTCATGCATTTTCAGTGGATGACTTTTTGGGTCAAATGAATAACTCAAAAAGTTGGGTTGGTCCCTTTGTGACTTTTTTTTTTTTTTTTTTCATCAACCCAATTCCAACATTCACGCCAATGGACCAAGTCTTCAATGAAGCTAACGTGCATGTTTTGAGAATGTGGGAGGAAGCCAGACAACTTAGAGTTCATACGGCCGGGATTCTAACCCAGACCCTCCCAACTGCGAGGCAAAAGTGGAAACCACTCAGCATTTATACGGCAAATTTTTGGTGACAGATCCAACTCAATATAAAAAAGTCGATTCATCATTCCGATACGGTTGTTAGTTTAAAATGGGAAAAATTTACAAACTTAAATATTCTCTGTTTTCTGACTGATTATCTTTGAACTGAATACTAATAAAACCAAACCAACTCAGAAAACCAAAATGAACATTTTTGCCAATTTCATGACATTATGGACCAAACAAGTAACAACTGTACTTTACTCATATATGTATTTTATGACAACTTTTTACTTTTACGCTCTACATTTGAAACTTGTAAAAATTACTTGTGGTAGTAGACAGTGCACGTCAGACTTGTTATTTTACTTGTATTTCTATTGTATTTGTATTTATTTGTATTTGTATTGTATTGTACAACAGCAATGGCTATTTGAAAGTGCTCGAAAAATATAGGTGAGCTGAGTTGAGTTGAGTATTTAAAAGCAAGAGTTCAATTTTATTTGAACAAGACTTTTGTTGACGCAAGCACTTCTACTCAAGTACATAGTGTGAGTACTTTTGTCACCTCTGGTATTGGCGATACTTATCGCCCCTCCATTGACATGATGTGGAATACCTTGCAGTATCGCAGTACTTTTGAGTCACAGCATACAGGAACTTACCACATCCTGTTGAGCACTTGCCACAAAAAAAAATCAGAAAGGTTGCAAAAGCACAAGCGGAGGTTTTGTGACCACGATGAACACTTGCCGGGGCTTTCGCGCTTATCGTAAAAATGTTACAACGCCGGGGGGATGATTCCAGGGTGATCCTGTTCTGACTGGGTAACAGAATTACAGTCAACAGGTTGAGTCACAAATCAACACAAAGAGTCTTCAGGGAAGTCTGTATTAGACTGGAGTTGTGTCAATTTGCTGACACAGCGGGAAAAAAAAAGGGAAAAAAAGAAAAAGGTCCAGCGTCCTTACCTGTTCCAGTCCAGGTGCCCATGAGGAGCCACAGCAGGAGCAGGAACAGTGGGGTATTCCGGCAATGGCCTCTCATGCTGGTAGAAGAAGGCCTAGGGGGGGACATGTTGCCATCGTGCTGTGTGTGTCAAAGCATCGCAACTTCCTGGCAAGTCTGACTTACGTGGATGGGAGAGGAAGAGGAAGAAGAAGAAGTAAGAAGAAAGGAGGACACTCCCACCATGACCAGTCACTCAGGTGTGACGCAAACTTTTTTCTTGACTTGTCGGCGCAAGTCTTTCACCGCATGATCACATTCCTGCTGCAGGCTGTCAGGTATGCAGGAGGGGGAACCTGCACTGTCAACGCTTTCTACGAACACACTGGTCGCCACAGGGAGCCTCATTACACTCTGGCTGTCCTGTAGATGCATGTTGAATGTTTAGCGTGAGAAACAGAATATTCCAGGCCCTGATTCCGAGGGGGAAATCACAGGGCGCGATAAAATGTGCCCCATAAGCCAATGAAAAGAGTCTGCGTGCTTGTTGCTAGGCTTGATTCACATGGCTAAAATCATTTGCACCCCATAATCCAATGAAAATATTCTGGGAAGTATATTTCCAAAAATATACTTACACTTTGGCTAAGCTAACATAGGCTACATATGAGAAGGTCTATTTTATCTTTTTTTTTTTTTTTTTTTTTTAAGAGCAGTTGATATTTAAGGTAATAAAATACTGCATTATTTAATGTCGATGGATTAAATTTGCCCACTACTAGGGTTGTAATAGAAGATTAGCCTTTTTCCTATTTGGAGTGTAAAACAAGTAAACTTGAATAAAATCTGTTTTAATGTCACATCTGTTTCAACTGGCTGTGTGACAATTGTGACTGGGTCAAGCATTTCGTGAAAAAATGATTCATAATTCTCAGAAAGCGTATGACTACCAGTAGAATTTAGCAATATGGACGCAGTTTCCTTCTGACAAAAAAAAAAGATGAAGAAGCATAAAGAATGTAGCCCGAATCATTTGTTTAAAAAACTGTAGCTATAAAAATACATTATGAACCTACAGTATTTACATTTAAATAATTTAAAATTGGTGAAATTAAGTAGTCTGATATTTGGCAGACATTTTGTGTCACCAAAAAATATACCCTGCGTTCAGCTGTGTATATATAATTATTTTGGCCATTATTTTACGTATAAAATTTTAAATAACTTCCAGACATTATTTGTTACTAATTCTTTAACAATGACATTATTAAATGTTGCCTGGAATAATTTGATAACATTTGTAAATGTATGTATGTATGTAAATGTTTGTCTTGTTCCGTTATGTATTATCTTTTCCCTTAAAATTACATTTACAATTCACTACATTTCACATTTAATCAATGAATTTTGTTGTTGTTTATTTTACTTTTATTTCTTTACGTATAAGACGAAACTCGCATTCAAGCACAGGAACCAATGACTCACACTTTTCTTTCACCCGAACTCTTTTTCTGGAGTGAACTTGACTGTTTCCGCTTCCGCCCCAGCTGTCAACAAACCAACCACGAGTTTTCACGGCAAAGCTAATACATCTCAGTTTCTATAATGGTGAGACCGAGCGTCTCTTTCTTTTAACAGCGAAACTAATCGATCACAATTTCGATGACAAAATACATATTTCACAGGAGACTGTCTTTCATATGACTGTATTTTTTTTCTTCAGCCGAAGACACAGAAAAAAGGGAAAGCCCCGGAGAAGGTCGTGCATCCGTACAGTCGGAAAGCAGCCTACATGGCCCGCGAGGAAATACGACTCAAGAAGAAAGAACGGTCAGTTTCCGAATTTGCATCGGAATGTTTTCCATTGATGTCCGATACAAATATTTCCTGCATTACTGTTGCAATAGCGAAGGTATTAATAAAACTCCATCGGGTTCCTTCTTCCGTATTGGTTCGTCGCCTTATTGTACCGTTTTTTTTCCGCAGACAAAAAGTTGAAAAAGCTGCACGTCTGAACAATATTGGTAAGTTAATTATGATATATTTTAATCGGTGTTTTTGATTTTTTTTTTTAAATTTGGGATACATTTCCCATACACAGGTGAGAAGCTGTTATGGTTTCAGGGCCAGTTGGACCCAGAAAAGACCACATTTACAATGAAGGATGCTCGTGACATCATCGAAAGGTGGGGCAGCATCTTAAAATGATCTGATATGTGTTGTACAATACAAGAGTTTAATAGTTTGTGCGTCATGGGATTTGAGGATTGTACTGCTCCTTCAGGTACATTCGTCTTGTCCACCAGGGGGCAGTATAATACAAGGGACCTTTTATTGTTTACTTTGATGAGAATAATTTCTCTTCCCTTACATTATTCTCATGTTTGATGTATGAACAACACTTTGTTAGAGCGTCGGTCTTTTTTTAATGTGCGTTGTAAATGAACTTTGGTTGAATTTCGCATTGCATGTGAACATTAAGATAGCGGACTTTTTAAAGGGTTATTTTAGTTTGTTTAAATACACACACAACACGTATGTTGTCTATTTGATATCTTTGATTTGGGTTTGACATTCAACTGGAACTGGCAATAAACAGCATGAAGCCTCTTTTTTTGAAGAATAGTTTACTATCTACTAGCTGCTTGTCCAAATGTATTATTAGTAAATAATAAATGTATTATTTTTATTTTATTTATTTTTATTTTTTTAATCGATCAAGTGAAAGCCGACATCCCGAAAATCTTGTGAGTTACTGTGCGCGTGTGTATGTTGTAGGTACCTGCAGCGGTTCGACGGCGAGCTGGAGCAGATCGAGCTGGTGAACGGCATCAAGGGGCGTCAGGGGCGCGCCCACGGCGCCAGGGAGGACTTCATCAAGCAGACCGTTGAGCGCGAGCGGGCGCTGTACCACGGCGCCGGCTTCGGTCCGTGCTTGTAAATGTCCATTTTATCCAGACTGGTACATGTTCATCATAATCAATATTGATTCAATGTGCTTTCTTTCCAAAGAGATCCCAGACTTTATCAACACCAAACATCTGAAAACATTCAGGTGAGCGGAGCATAAGATAGTTGTTTAGAAAGCACTGAAACATTAAACCGCTGGACATCTGCATTCCAAGGTGTAGAGAAAGTCAAAAAAGGTTCACTTGAAACCGTCATTAAGTTTTTTTCTCTCTCTCTACATTTAGCAAAGCATCAGTAACGGGTGCCATAAGTTGATGCTAATACATTTTTCTATTCAATTAATTCAACAAGTACACTCCTTTAGTAATTTTAGAAAGCCCCTTTTTAAATTCTTCTGTCAATATGAGTCGATAAAATCTTGTACGGTCCTCTGAGACGATAAAACGAGCACAAGCAGTGGTCGATCAATAACCTTGCACATCCAAAGACATTCAGACATACTTCACGGCCTCGCAAACAGTGGGAACTTCTCGGATTAAGGCCGTGGCCCAGTGGTTTGGGAACCCCTGCTCTCATGGCCACCAATATGTGAAAGACCCTTCGCTCTCTCATAAATGCATTCAAATTGGCTTGTGTCAAGACGCGGACTAAGTAAAGTGATGTTTTGCTCCTGCAGGGAATGGACGGGAGATCTGAAGAAACTTCCGAACATTCAACTCAGGAAGGTTTCCCACACGGCCTTGGAAGTCAAGGACAAAAAAGAGCAGACGCACAACCAAGAAGAAAAAGGCGACGACGAAGAAGAAGAATTGGATGATAATGAAAGTGATGACAACGATGACGAGTTGGACAAAAGTTCTCTGATGTCCGACTCCAGCTAAGACATATCGGTTTCCTTTCATGAGCCTTTTTAACCACAAACAACTTTCTACAGTTTGTTTATTGCACAGGCTAAGAGTCAGAATGTGTTTTTATCCAATCAAAAAGAGAGAGGGGAAAAATGGCATCGTTCTGGTTTTGCCAACTTTTTGTGGAGACTCTGGTTGAAAAATGAACAAAGTCATTGTTTCTAGACGTAGCGCCAAGGTGAAAGACTGCAATCTGACCTTTGAACCCTCCCTCCCCTCAAAATGATGTCTTGAAGCTACAAATGATCATGCTTACTGGGGGGAGCTGACTGTCCATGTGGGAAAAGCTGTACGGAAATAAACTAACCAAACCAAATGAAATACTGTATGTTGTTGAAATACATGAATTACAGGACGATGTCAATAATTTGAATATTGAAGAAAATGTCATTTTATTTTTCTCGGTTCAATTCCAAAAGGGAAACTAAGGGAATTATGATACGCAGGACAACGTGAGGCCAATTCCATTTTCTATTCGAAATAAAATAGTTTCTCTTTTAATTTTTCGAGATAGTGGAGTTTGGATTATTGTTACCTGGAATAAAATCAACAAAATGACCAAATATGGTCATTTAGAGGCGCAACGGTTAATCACTAACCGATTATGAAACGAATTGCTCATTATTTTTGAGTGATGAATCATTCAGATGGCTTTTCGAATTTAAAATTGTCCCCAAAAAAAGTTTTGGCTTCTCAAGAGTAAATATTCTCCCGATTTCTCCGTGAAAGCCGTCGGATCAACTTTTCATCCTGAATTTGTTTGTGCATTTTCCACACTGTCAATTTGTTTTTCAACGGAGGGCTAGAAATTCAAACTTTTGGTCTTGATTTATAGATTCAATCGACAAAGTAATCGACAGATTTCAAGATTCTGAAAATGATCATTAGTCGCCGCCCCAGTGTACTTCACGATGGACATTTTCCCGATATTCTCATTTATTTACATGCGCCTGTATTTCATCATAGTAATTCACTTCTTTTAAATTTCTGGGCTTACTTTGCCTACCCAGGGCTCAACGGTACGTATCGAGGGGATTTTCGTGCGGTTTGACAAAGTGCATGAAGGGAATGGAGGTGTCCCAAAAGTATGGCATGATGGAGTCATTACTCAGCATGAGCAAGTCTTTCCGGGGCCGAGACCTCATCCTCGCTCTTGGTGGTCATCGCGGCGGATCGCCGCTTGCCTGCCGGCCTGCTCGTGTTCACCTTGAGAGACAAAAACACCAGTGAAGTGAATTATTCAAGGTTGACAGCAAAAAAAAAAAAAGTAATTATGAAGGCAGTAGTCATTTGCTGAAACGTGTCAGGAAAATGAAAACCATTTTATAGTATCTCACCAAAGTGAATACCAGGGTTATTATCCTGTAGTTCTGGATTTTTTTTTAATTGTAGTTAGTTTTTAAATGTTAGTTTTGACACAGTTTTCAAATTCAGTAGGTTTTCGTTAGGTTTGTATTAATTTTTTTTTAAACGTTTTATAATTTTTTTCTTTTTTTTAGTTTAAGTTAGTTTTAGTTTTTGAAACTCAAACTTCTATACATCCATTTTTTAATCTGCTTATCCTCACGAAGGTCGCAACTTGCCATCACTAATATCATGCTTAAAAAGGCGTAAAAAGCAGGACTACAGTGGATGGCCAATTTTCAAAAAGAACTAGGCCGTGCTGAAAAACTTCCTGTTTTCATTCTTTCAAATTTAACATGTCAAGTTAGTGTGTCACCATCTAGTGGTCAACAGTGTAATTACACCCAAACAGATTAGCATGAGACCAAAATGCAGCAGTTAACGGTACAAAAAAAATCAACAACAAATAAAAATTGTGACAGCAGGATCACAAACCCAGAACCCACAATGGAGGGCGTTTTACTCACTTTAGCGAGGTACTCTTACATATACAAACAATTACTGCTACAAAGCCAATATGAACCTTCTTACACGCTTGAAGTCCAATCCATCTCGATGCAAAATGTTGCCACCTTCAAACCGGATTGTGCCTGGCCGCCACCGCCGCCTCCGAGGACGCGTCCGAGGGTGCGGGCCCCTCCGCGGGCGCCTGGCGCTTGCCATTGGCGAGCCGGCTCTTGTCGGGGCAGTTCTGCACGGTGATGATGCGGTTGAAGGCCTTGAGGCGGCGCCACAGCTGCAGGTACACCTTGCACTGGATGTACATGAAGATGAGGCCCCCCGTGAAGCCGATGGCCACCACGATCAGTTTGGTCCAGAAGGGCCACTCCAGGACGCCTGGAGGGGAGGGACACGGCGTAGCAGAGTTATTCGCCCTGCGGGGGGCGCCACCATCACTCACAGGAGTAGGTCGTGAAGGGGTGCCGTGCTTACCCTGAGGGGTATAGTACTTCAGGAGCGAAAGCCGCCATAATTCCTCTGCAATCAACAGTGTTAATTTCTCTCTTTTTTTTCGTTTTGCACCAATAACTTCTACTGAGTGACGGCTACTTTCATGAGCATGTATCATGGCCACGCCTCCTAGAAATCCGCTGTCACATGATGCCGTTGAACATGAACACTGCGTTCAAATATGGGGGAAATAAAACTGCGCTTAATTCAAGGGCGAAATAGCAGCGCCTCAAGAAATGTTTCAAATCAAACACTTCTTAAAGATGAAATGTAAAAATGTAAATGTAAAAATAATATAAATAAACTTAGAAGTTAAATACAACAGAACTGGATTTGGGCAGATTCTTTCATCTACTGTACAGAGTTATTCGAATTTTCGATTTTTCATTAGGTTTTTTTTTTTTTCAATAAATTCAGTTTTTGTTTTTCGAGAAGTATTTTTTGTGTGTGTTTATTTTTTTTTTTAGTATTTCAAAAATGCTATGTTTTCGTTTGCTGTAGCTTTTCTTAGTTTTAATATTAGTTTGAGTTTTTTTATTTTTTTATGAAGTATTTGTCGGGTGCAAGATGCGGTGGGGAAAGGTCACCACGTAGCGTGTAATTACGTAAAGTAAAATTCTCAAGTGTTTGACCATCCTCTTCTGTACAGAGGTTCAGGAAGAATACATTTACAATGAAATCCAAACTCTCATGTGCTATCATAAAGTTGCAATAAATAGCATCATAAAGACACAAAAATAAACCTGGAAGAGTGAAAAAAAAAGTTCTAATTATAATAGCTAATTATATAATAACTCGGTGTTCCCCTGCATATATGTGACATGCAATTTTTTTTTCTTCGAAGCTCGGCTCTGTTATTTGCAGAAATAACAATAATAATATAAAAAGTTGCGCTTTGGTTCCGTCTTGGGGCACATTGGTTACAAGGTACTATGTTGAAGTGAGGGGAGGAACTTCTTGGCCAGCCCAAAGCCGTTTAGCTTGTACCCAAGTACCGTAACTTGACGAAGCGTTTAGCATTGAGCTGGCAAGTGGCCGTGATACATATTGTGCGGTTGAGAATGTGACAATCACACCAATGGCCAAGGACCAAAACACATCACTTGTTGCTACTCTTGCTAGAACGTTTCCATCTGAATTCATTTCTATGGGAGGACATTGACATTTGCACGACACTATGACACGTGCTGCACACCTTGACTCAGAAGCAAATACCAACACCAGTCACCCAAAACAAAACTAATGAGTCGTCTTTCCCCCACTGCATTTTCAAGGGAGTCCTTGATCCTTTACGGGAGTATGGATGACATAGTGAGGACACAGCACGGGTATACTGACCGTTCTTGCCCAGTTTGATCTCCTCGGTGGTTCTCTTGACCAGGATGTAGACGGACCACAGCATGCACACGATGGCAATGAGGTGGAACAACACCGAGCAGTAGATCTTCCTTCTCTCGCTTTTGGACATGTGCAACTTCTCCCACTGGCCAGAAAATATGACAAAACATTTCATCTCGTGATTGCGTATTCGCGCTGGTGACGTGTGTTTTTTTTAAATAAAAAATTCAATGGTGAGTGTGTCGTGATTTAGTACTGCAATTCAATTAAAATTGTGTGTGTGTGTGTGTGTGTGTGTGTGTGTGTGTGTGTGTGTGTGTGTGTGTGTGTGTGTGTGTGTGTATACCTTGCGCAGAGGTTTGAGTTTGGTCTCCATGATGAAATCGAACTTGCAGAGCTCGCAGCAGCGCGTGTCCGAGGACTTGATCCACTGGTAGAGACACGCTTGGTGCACGAAGCTCAGGCTACCCGTGCAGTGGCACGGCATGATGAGCGGACACTCCTCGTCGCCCTCGCAGTGGCAGATCCTGCACAGAAAAAAAAAAAATTAAAAAAAATAAATCGCACGCACGTTGACAAAAACCCCCGCCGCGCACGTCTTTTATTGGCACCGAGCCGGTAGCAAAGAAAAAAGTTGCAACGGTTCTTATGTTAGAGCTGGAGGAAAAAGTGGTGCCAAGGAACGCTTCCGTGGGGATTTGTTACCTTGACAATTTTTCACATCAACTCTTTTCTCATGAGAAACTAAATCAGACCTCCCTTGGACGCAATTCATTTTGATTTCATTTCACAAGAGCTGATCTCATTTCAAATGTCAACTCTTTTACAATGGGAAAATATTCAAAATCCGTTTTACCCGTGCACAGTGATGATATATTATTTTTATCTTAACGTGATGACAATCTTGTCATTTTAAAGATTACATGTATATTTTTTGTAATTAATAATTTTAAAAAATCATGTTCTTTTTCATTTAGTAATTTGTCAGTTTTAAAATCTTGTCCGTATGTTTCTTATTTATCCTGTAAGTTGACTGATTGAATGAGCTTGTCATGTTGTTTTTTTCAAAATCAAATGAAGTCTTTTATGAGAAAAAAAAAAATCCAAAATCATGGCTTTTTAATTTTGTCCCGCCGCCTTGACTGCCGGACCAGTGACGAGTCTGGCTTTGGTCACCACCACAACGGAGGGCGGAGCAGTGATGCAAGCGGTTCCGAAATAGCCCGGAGTGTAGTGAAGGAAAAAAACAAAAACAAAGCACCTGTAAAGACATGAACAGCATTTTAAGCCTCATTAAAACAAATTGAAATGGCATTAACGTAGTGTTATAGGTCCGCCTTTAAGGGGCGTGGCATCTGTCATTTCGCCTGCATGTGTTTGGATTTGAGTTGGAACGTTCTGTAGCTCCCCGCGAGTGTTTGTCTTTTTGTTTTTGCGTCTTTGACCGTTTGTCCCGTTGAACGAACGGCTGGCAGAGCGGCCGACCGTTACGAATGCGGCAATTTGCTGGTGTGAAAAGGGCTCGTGTAGATTTGGAAGCCGACCCCGTTTGACACGTCCTAGGGGCAGCGTATCGCCGCATGGCCCCGACTGACCTGCACACCTCCAACTCGGAGTCATCGGAGCAGGCGCGAGGCGGCGCGCCGTTGGCGCCGCAGCGCTTTTGAGGCGCGGGCGCCGCCATGTCCCCGTGCCCTGCCCCCTTCTCCTGATACTTTTTCGTAATCATCTCCTTCTCGCCGTCCTCCGACGAGCTGTCAGGCGGACTGGGCTCCTTGTCCATACTGGGCAAGCTTTCCCTCAGCGAGCTGTGCCCGCTGCCGCCGCTGCTACTTTTGCCACGTCGATTTTTCACGCCATCGTCCACCACTAGGGGGCGGTCCTCCTTGCACTCGTTGGAGCTCACCGATTGCAACTCCATCACCTCGGTCACATCCTCGCCGCTTTTGCTCCGGCTGCGGTGGCGAGCCCGCCTGGACTTCTCCTGAGCCCAACTGCGGTTCGCCGGCTTCTCGTCCTCCGAGGTGGAGTCCAGGCAGCGGAAGCGCGCCGGGGGGTCGCGCGAGGGGCGCTCCGACCGCGTCTCGCTGCGTTGCGGGTTTTTGGCCTCCACGCAGTCCAATGGGCCGAAGCTGTTCCTCTTGCGGCGGTGGCGGCGCTTCACCTGCTTCTTGGGGGGCGGGGCCGAGGGCCCGAGGGCGGCGCTGGGGATTGTCATGGGAGCGGGGCGCGGGCTCTTGTTGTCGCTGGCGGTGGGCAATTCGGACACATCCTCCTCAACGCGGGTCAGCTGGACAACACTGAACACACGCGAGCAGACAGCCACACGCGCGCACACACACACACACACACACACACACACACACACACACACACACACACACGCACACGCACACAGATGGTTGCTGAGATGAGATGACAATGTGATGAATGAGGTGACAAATTTAAAATGCAAAATTTGAGAAAATCCACCCAACTTTTACATGATGCAGAAAAACATTTTAACAATAATTATACTCATTTTATAGATCACATTTGATTAGATTGAGATTGAGTGTGTTGAGCAATATCATGATTTTTCTCGTTTCTTATTAAGGAAACGAATCTGATCATGTGATAAATTCTCCTTCATGGAGTTGGTAAATTCAAATATGGTTGAAGTTATGTAATTCTGCAATTTTTTTTCAAATCATTTCAAAATTAGATGATGCATTTCACAATGTGTACTTTGGAATTTTTTTTAAGTTTAAACGTTTTAAAAGTTTTAATCTGAATCTGATACTGGCGGCAGTTTAAATTTAACACGACTAGCCCATATTAAACACGTTCGGACGCTGCTCTCTCGCAATTTATTGATCGGATCCAACACAATATTTGAGAAATGGGAAGAAGATGGTGATGACATGAGCACAATGGGGCAACACGTACAGTATGAGAGGCTGTCAGGGACAAAATTCAGGGTTACATCTTTGGGCCTTGTCAAACTCCATGCTAGCCGATAGCATGTCAATGGCGCTTTGTATTGTTTGTTAGCATGAAGCTAAGCGGAGAAGAATTTCACTCGTGTGTGTGTGTGTAATAGGTAACCCTGAATGACTTTTGCGGCCCCTCATCGACACAAAGACACACACACACACACACACACACACACACAAACAAAAACCACACGTTCACAGCCACACAGCTGAGCCCGTCTGACGGAATAATTCTTCAGTGCCATATATTTCCAGCAGGGGTTGGTACCTGGTACCATAGGTTGGGCTAATCTTAGAGACGATAAAAAATGCTCTACCTGCAAATATCCTGAGTAGATGGGGTGACGGACGTCTTGGAGACGCTGGTTTGTCCTGCTGTCGAGTTGCTTGCCTGGAAGTGATCATGTGAAACAATGCGGTCACTTTCAAGGTACTCCCTGTGGTGCAAATGTCTCAAAAGTGTGTTTGTGTGTGGTTGTTACGTCGGGATGTCAAAACCCATGCGTGAGGTTACCTTGGAGATGTTGCTGGATCGACTCCCTGAGCGACCAGGGGTCTTGGCCTGAGGGCCCTGAAGCGTAAAGAGGAGAAGACGGGAAATCAGTATGGCGGAATGATGCTCTTTATGAAAATGGCACGTGGTCAACCTGCGCAACTTCCAACGTTCCAACCAGGACGACGCCTCAAACAACAGTCCCGAAAAGCAATCAGTCTGAGGAGCATCGGTGCGAAATGCAGCTCTTATATTTAAAAGCGAAGCAAACTACAGTCGTACAGAAAACTAAAACAGAAAGTAAGAACCTCATGAAATAAAAGTATCCAACGGTTTGCGCATCATCATTTAATGCTGCAAGCTAATTCAGTGGGCTGCTCTTTATGGTGTGCAGAAGACATCTCCTTTAAATTGAAACACACCCCGGCCCACACACACCCACACAAAATTGGGAGTACAGAGGAACTGGGAAAAAAAAAGGACAGCCACGCGTACAGACAAGAGCGCCTCATCTAAGCTGATCAAGGGATTTGCTGCTAGCCTGATTTGCTATTAGCGGCTCTGAGCTTGCGTGTGCGCGCGCAAGTGGGACTGCGCACGTGTGATCATCATCATCATCATCATCCTCATGAGTCTGGAAATGTTATGAAAGGGCACTTACTCATTGTTGTTCAATTTATGGTTCAGTGGTTTATGGTCAACCGCTGGTTTGAAATGTCAACTAAATCAACGATGGGCTCGAGGGAACGGGGAGGAAAACGCACGTCGTTTGCCTTTCATTGGCAAAATATTTTATAGATGTATAAAATGTTTTTTTCTAAAGAGAGAGAGAGAGAGAGAGAGAGAATATTTCACTTTCAGAACACAAAAAGAAATACAGTGGCGATAGAAAGTCGACATAGCCTTGTTCAACGCCCCCCTTGCCCCCCAAAAATAAAACAAATCTTTTCGAGAGGACAGTGCCAATAAACAGACAGAACGTGCTTGAACAAGTGTGCACACCCTCTTATCACGTTGGGTGTGGCTATGAAAGAACAAGGCACGCTCAAAATCAGCACATATCTGCATCCGTTTAAATTGCCACTGATTACCTCGGAATAAAACTCAGCTGTTATAGTGTGGTACACGTTTGAGGTTGCATCAATAGTATGTGTGTGGGGTGGGGGGGGGGTGAATTTACTACAAACCCTTGCTTTTGAATGGGGTGTGTAGACTTTTGATATGAATTGGCTAATGTTTAAAAAAAGCCTTAAAAATTAGAAATTCCTCCTCCCTCTTAAATGTCTCCACACTTGGCACTGTACTCGTGTTTAACAAAAACGAATTCAAATGTTACTAAAAAAAGGTCACTCTCTCACAGTAATTTCAAATATAGTGCATGTTAATCAGATTTTTTCATACTCCTTGAACGAGCGTTAAATACCCACAGTTCGAAGTAAGGTGGAACTAAGCTCTTCGCGGTGACTTTTAAAGCAGCTGTTCACCGAGCTTGTCCCCCCTTGCAGCGGATTCTTTGCTACGATTAACCCGACGAGTTTAGTGAAGCGCTCAAGTGACATGATCCACAACAAGGTATTCCGGCTATTCCAAACGCATCGCAATGATGTTTGAGTGACGAGCGAGGCGGCTCTGGCCTACCTGCCCCTGTGGCGAATCCCTCTTGGATGTGATGCAGGTTGAAGACAACTGATGGAACATGTGCCTGCTACTTGTGGAAGGGAGTGGTGGAGGGATTAGGTGGTGTGGTGTGGTGTGGTGTGAGAGCCGCACTGAATATATTTAGGCATACACCGTTAGGGATTCGCCAAGACCATTTCGTTTGAAGGCCGAGTGAGTGAAATGTGCGTTTGGGTGCTCGCCGATATTGATCGTTGTATGTCCACTGAGTAGAAGGAAGATCAAACAGTTGTTTGAGGATTGTAGTTTACTTCATTACTCTTTTTTTTTTACCTAGTGATCAACAAATAATCCATATGTTAAAAACTAACCAAATATTTTGGCCAAATCACCCAGCCATAATTTACAAAATATCATTCTGTCTGTTATACTGCCCCATGTGGCCAAGGTGAGTAGCACTATAATGTAATATGCAATATAGTAATATATTTATTGTGATATTCATTGATTACGGGTTAGGTCCAGCAAGAGGTGGAATTTATTCTGAAGCGCCATAGCTCTCAATTACAATGCATGGTAACATCTGCACTGTGCAAGGTTTTATTGGTCAAAACAAAAAATGCAAATGTTTCAAAAACCGAATGTGCTAGAAAAAAGTGAAGTTTTTTTTCAAATCAGCATCAAAAACACATTTAGGGATTCAAAATGCGACCTCTGATTAAAATTGTCTGCTGCCCTGGATGATTTAATAGAAATAAGAAGAAAAAAAAAGAAAAAGAATCAATGAAAACGTTTTCATGAACTGGATTTATGAGGTAAAAAAAACTTATTCAATGCATCAGACGAATATGAGAGGGGAGTCAATAATATAAATGCTTGATGGCTCACTGAGCTGACTTCTCACCAGATTTGCTAACATGATGCTTTGAACTCCAAGTAGTTTCCCTCAGAGCATTTTAGTTGAAGTCCAAATTGCTTGACTTGGGATGGACATCTGCATTAAATTCGGCAATTGAATTGTTCATATCGTATGATGCTGATCCATATTCCTAAGAAGTGGCTCAGGAACTTACCTCGTTCCTGTCTTTGGGCCGAGGGCCGCTCTTGCCGTTCTCCCTGGCTGGGACCACCGTGATCTGGTGTACGGGCATGCTGGCGGTTTCCGGGCAACACACACACACACACACACACACACACACACACACACACACACACACACACACACACACACACACACTCAAGCACACACGGACGTTGGCGTTAGTCCCATGGCGTCCCCGCGCCTTGCCGTCCTTCGATGGGCGGCCATGCCGTCGAAGGAGACAAGGCAGGTCCCGCGACACCTTGCACTTCCCGATCCGGTTGGTGGAATTAGATCAAGAAGACGGCGGTGGAGATGACTAGGGGTGAGGTTGTCATGGCAACTGGGAAACTACTCAGCCGCTCCCTCCCTCCCGCCTTGCTTCCCTCCGTTCGTTCGTCCGTCCTCGTGGTCGGGCCTGCTGACAGAGCGAGAGAGAGAGAGAGAGAGAGAGAGAGAGAGAGAGAGAGAGAGAGAGAGAGAGAGAGAGAGAGAGAGGCAGTAAACAAACAGGAGGTGTGTGTTGGCGTGCTGGATTTTGTTGTGCATGCCGGGTAATAATAAACATACGCTCAGCGAGGGGATTAAGGCTTAGACTAACCTCAATCCAACCCCCCCACCCTCTTCTCCGAACTAATGGGATTACACGACATGTGTGCGTGGATGCTACAAACACACATACAACAAATGAAACGGACATGTTATTTCCTCAAGATAGATACTTACTTGCCTTAAAAATACTTCAAGACTAAACTGTGTGTGTGTGTGTGTGTGTGTGTGTGTGTGTGTGTGTGTGTGTGTGTGTGTGTGTGTGTGTGTGTGTGTGTGCGCGAAAGAAAGAGAGACCTCAATTGAACCAATGCCGGTGGTTCTCCAACTTCTTAACCCCAGTCCAGTGGTGCTTTAAAAAGAATCTGTTCCAGCCACCCCCCTAACGAAAATATCAATTATAATGATTTTTTTTTCATTCAAGAAAATAGAACTCTAATATTTTATTTGAAATGGGATGTGAAGAATTTAATTTGTGTGTCATGATTTAATGCTTCCATTTATTTCATTGTGCTGCTCCTTCTGGTGTGCCTGCATTAGCCATCGGGGGGCAGTAGAATACAGCCAAATGAAACTTTCAGCAAGTTGTGAGCTTCTTGATATATAAAATAAAAAAAACACATCTCAACTTTTCAGAAATTTCAAAAGCTATCGTAAAAGACATGATGAATGCTACGGATCTAAGCGCCATCATTATTCTCAGCAATTTTTTTTGCAGAGGATAAAGAAGGTATCGCTGACATTGAACCGAAACCTCATACGTCGCAATTTGATCAATTTGACTTTTTTTTCCACAAATCTATATTATTGGTCAGTCCACACCTGCGGGTGTTATTTTTACAAATTTTCGACCAATCAAAAGTGTTGAAAACCTTTGAGAATCTGATGTTAATGGTTGAAGAAACATGACGTTTTTGGGGGGATCTCCTGAAAAGTGACTATTTTGGAGGTAAAAGGTTTTGGCCGGACTCCTACGATGAGTATTGTGATATTGACTAGACGGGTTGCTCACCCTTGTTTGTTTGCTTCTAACACCGTGACTAATCATGTTCAGTGTTAGCCTGCCAATGGTGTTCTCCATGTTATGTTAGCATTAAGCTAGCCGGGTGCATACTTCAGTTCCATTACATTTCCCCACTGTTGGGCCGAAGTTTCAGATATCGTAATTTGGTAAATCCCCCCCCCCCCAACACACACACACACACACACACACACACACACATTTATATTCTTGGTCAGTCTTTTGGGCTGAACAAACATGTCGTTATAGGGGTCTCCTGAAAAGTGAGACCATTACTCCACCCGACGCCAGCGATTTGCAAACAGCGCAGCCCAACAGGTAGACACGCTACAAGTGTTAAAACACGCACACACAGAGTCACAAAGGCCATTCATAAATAATTCGCGTTAACTTGATCTGACTTCAATTTGAGAGGCGTAGGCGTGCACTTCATTGCTCTATAAGCGTGAGTGTGTTTGTAAGAGCAAGTTACCAGTGTTGGACGACGATGGCGTTCTTATTGGGCGAGCTTGAGGAGCTGACCGTCGTCTTCTCCCTCTTGGTTTTCGGCTTCTTCACCCTGGCTGGAATAATCCATGAGGAACGCAGGCGTCCTACAGGTACGATTTAGGCTGTGAATCTTCAGGCAGATGTGATTTTTAAACATAAATGTGTCACCATCTAGTGGCCAAGAGTGCAATTACACCCAAAATAAAATGTGTAAATCATTACAGGGGTTTACTTTTTTGGGGGGAATAAGGCTGGAACAATGTGTCAAAAGTGAAGCAGTGAATATATTTGGTTATTTTAATGAAGGGAGGCGCATTTCCCTGTACAACGAAGAGTCGATTGTCTGAAGATCAGGACGGCAAGACGCTTCAAATTGAGCTTCCTCCTCCTCTTGCGAGCCTGCCGAGATGACATCAAAGCCGTGTGGGCGGCTGCTGAGTGGGTTTCATTTCATGGCAAAGTCCACATGGGTGGTTCCCTCTCCAAGTGTGTGTGAGTGTACGTGTGTGTGAAGGAGTTGTGAACCTTGCGCTAGGATGTGCTCATATTTGCTTCCGGGACTCACGCTGGACTCTACCTGTGTGTTGGAACATATCATGGAGATTAAAGCTTGCTTCCTGCTCATGCATTTGTGAATTCTACACATTGCGTCTGATATATATTTATTTTCTTATGGTGAGTCTTTTTTTCAAAATCTCAAACTTCCTCCGGTCACATTTCTTGTTAGGACGCTAACCGGGTCATTTTCTTATCGAGTGTGCAAGCATAGTATTGATTTTACGCACACAGCCTCTTTAAAATGACTTGAAACTAGAATGCACGATGTGGAATGGATCTGAAATTGTCTGTTGACTGCGCCGCAGTGCCGGTAAACAACTGCGGCCAATTTTGGAGCTAACCAGACGTTGACAACTACGGTACAAAGAGGCCTTTTTGTGTCTATCGGACGCTATTTTCTATCCGTCGAATCCAGGTTCCATTCTGAAACTTTTCCATCGACGCTTCTGTCAAACTTTGCAATGTTACGTAGTGTATGTTGGGGTTACGTCACAGCCGCGAGCCCATGGAAGTGCCTTTCTCCGGCTTTGAGCTGGCCTTCATCGTGGTCGCTTTCGTCGTCTTCTCGCTCTTCAGCATCGCTTCCGTCTGCATCCGGCCAGACGAGGGCCTGCGGCCAGGTAAGAAAAGGGCGACGCGCACGTTTGGGGAATACGGACAGACGGGACAGACGGAAGTCAGACATGTCAGGTGCGCTCTTCAGATGAAGACGTCCGCGAGGCTGCAAGAGGGAAGCAGAGAGTGATCAGCAGGCAGGCAAAACCGCAGACACACTAAAGGAAGCATGAAAAGACACGCTGGCAATTAAAGCAAGGTAACAACATACGCTCCAGACTTGCAGGATTTTTTTTTTTTTAATGAAATTTAACTATGGATTGAAAATGTGATCAAAAGTGCTGTTAAAACGTATTTGCACATTGAGAATATGACATGTTTATTATTACAAAAGTAAATTCCCTTCCTTTTTTTCTTTCTTTTTTAAAAAATATTTTAAAATGATCTTTAAAGTATTGCGAGTGGTGACTAAGTGTATTTCGGGAAAGCCACGTGACACACATGATTATTTCTTCAACAACATGTGGGGACGCAGTGGCCGCCATGTCTGAGTTGGGCTTTAACAAACCGGCTGACTTTTGGCCTCTGAAGCCCCGGCGAGGTGACATCTTGACTGGGGTGGCACGGCAGGGACTGCCGGGTGGGCTCCCTGTTGAGTTCGCCCCTTGACCCCCTGAGCCCTCCGTCAGTCAGCCGTCTCGCTGCAATAAAGACGACCAGCTTGCTCGTGGCACGAGAGTCGACCGTCTTTATACTTTGTGGTGAATCTGTGGTGTGGGAACCCTTGAGTGTGTGTGTGCGTGTCGGTGTGTGTGTGTGTGTGTGTGTGTGTGTGTGTGTGTGTATTGCACAAGCACAGTTGTTAACGTGCATGTGCATACATCAGGTTTTTTGGAGGGTTCCATCGGAGATAAGGGGGTCTTGAGAGTCATTAAGCAGCGACCATCCGTGGGCCTCATTAGCACGGATGACCTCATGACAACGATGTCAGGAGCAATCTTCGGCGCGCAGAAGATCACAATCAGCTGACGACCAATGGCGGACGCACACCGCGTGAGGACGCGCGTTAGACACGCGTCTCCTCTGCACCTGTACGGTTTGCCGGACGCATTCATTTTGATGACAAGGAAATTGGAGCGTTCCAATTTGAGCGATTGTAACGAGCAAAGCTGAAGATGTCGCCGTTGAAAGACGACCGGCAACGACAAAGAAGTGTGAGGAAACGAGATGGCGCAGTGGCAGAGCAGCCACAAAAGTGGCGCAAGCGTCTCTGTGCACTAAAACAAAAAAAAATATTGAAACGGCTTGAATTTCGAACAGTATTTGTCTGTCGTTCCTGAAGTGATTGTATGTATAGTAGGCGGAGGCTTTGCCACAAAAGGAAAAACTTTTATGACTCACTCTTCTTCCTCGGTTTTATCAGAGAGGAAGTTTCTTATCTGCGGGTCCTCGGGAGATGAGGACGAGGAGGAAGAAGGTTGAGAAGATGCAAGCTGTCCAGAGGTTGTAAAGATCACAGCAGAGAACACCAGAAATCACTTTTTTTCCTCTTTGCCATCACAACAAAAAACATCGCCTCCAAAAACGCAAGTCACATTTTTCAACCTTTTGCTTCAAATGTCGCATTTAATCTTTTCTTGTTGGTGGTTCTGTGCTTATATTTTAGTTTTCCTCTTTATGCTTCGGCTAGACTCCAAATTGTGCACAGTAAAGATATCGCGACGTGACCTTATGTCCCATGCAGACCGTATGTCCAGGGGTGTGTAGACTTTTTCTGTACAATATTATACAGTGTGTCTAAAAAGTCTCAACACTCCGAATTAAAATGCCAGGTTTTTTGATTTAAAAAAAAAAAAAAAAAAAAAAACACGGAACCAAGATAAATCATTTGAAGGCTTTTTAAGGGGAAATTAATGTCATTGCATAAGTTTACGCACCCTCTTTTAACTGTGGTATGGCTCTCACAATGAACCAATCACACACAAAAAAAAAACTCTTGCGATTTTAGCAACACTATGGATGTCCCAATCACACTTTTTGGGCACCCATAGCAGAGTCCAAATTCCGATACCATTTTCTTTTTTTTTTTCAACTTAATTATACAGATTAGAGGCCACATTAAAGGGGAAGTCAAACCAAAAGTGTTCTCAACGCGGCATTCTGATTAATACTGCATTTGTGAACTATAAATTAACACTAGCAGCAAAATCTCATTTGGTCATGTGACATTCACAAGCTGTGCCCTAATTGGTCATTACCTGAGCCCTGTGATGTCATTTTCAGTCTACAGCAAGTGGCAAAATGGCTGCCCCGGTAATGACTAAAAGCCGGTAGATTTTGCTACTTAATTCATATTCCGCAAAGCCAATATTAATCACAAGGCTGTGTTTTGACTTGCGGGGTCAAATAGAACATATTATCGTCGAGAAAACTTTCCCCTATAATTTTGGAAAAAGCTTTGAACGGATTTCTCTTGGTCTCATTTTTTTTTTCATCACAAAAACCTGGCATTTTGAATAAGGGTGTGTAGACTTATTATACGCACAGCAGGTCGTATCAAAGGCACCTGACAGATGCCAGTAGGTGTGCCTTGTAAAGGCATTTGGCTCTTTAGACTGTGGCGAAAGGGCCTCTACCGTTTCCAATGTGATTAGCTGGGCTTTTTCCATTTGGTTCATTACGAAAATAATAACTTGACAAGTGCAACATCTCGGTCACACAGATTGAATTCCTTTGTGTGAGTCACTTAGTGATGTGCGTGCGTGTGTGTGTGTGTGTGTGTGTGTGTGTGTGTGTGTGTGTGTGTGTGTGTGTGTGTGTGTTTGAGCAGGCTGGGAAATCCCCCGTCAAGGCTTTTAATCCCCCAGTAAGAGCAAATATTCCAACACCAAAAAACCTGGCGGGGAGACTTTTTTTGGGAGGTGTCGTGGGGGGGGGGGGCATATACAGACACACAAACACACACATCTATACAACACAACACACAGCAAGTTGGTTACCAGGTGGCTGTGAATGACAATTGGAGATGCATTAGCATATTCAAATGGAGCAAAATAAAACTTCTTTAAAAGACAATGGCCGCTGATATGCAAAGCGCAACCCAAGAAACAAACCCGGTCGGGGAAAGCGTTCGCAAAATCCGGCAGGAATCTCGGCCACGTCCACTCAGACATTTTTTTGCAAATACAGTACCGTAAAGTCATAAAAGCGCACACACACAAACACGGACAAAGGCACGCAGAGATTGCGTTGTCTTTTGTGGGTTTTTCAAGCGAGATGCTTGTTCAAAGTCTCGGGGAGCGTTTTGCAGGCCTAGCGCTCCATTAACGTCCTGCTGCTTGCCTTAATCCTCATTCACATGTAATGGGCAACATTTCATCTTAATGTGCTAATTGATTAGCGGTGCGCTCAATGGAGGAGTCGCTAACGGCGCGGAGGAGACGGCGGCCGACCGCGCAGACGCGCTAATGAGGTGGCGGTATACAAGACAAGCAACATTTTACACTTTTTTTCTTTGTTTTTGCCAAAAATGTTCTAAATAGTTTCATGAGTTTGATTCTATATTTTGTATTGATGGTATGATGAACATTGTAAGAGATTTTTAATTTATCCTTTTTTATGTGACCCTAAATTTTAGCTTACTATAGATTCCTCTAAATATTTTTATTTATTACAAACTATGTATTGTAATTTACTTATTTTATATTATATGAGTGCAGTCATGGAACAAATTAAGCGCGTATTTCAAGGCAGCTGCTAATACTATTGTCTGTGGAATCGGCGAATACTCAAATGTACATATTTGTACTCAGTTGGATAATTTGAGTACTTCTGATGTGCAGTCTTCATGTTGACATACCACTGTTTCATGAAACAATATATCTGAACAAATTGGAAGAGGGCCTTGAAAATAAAATTGTTGCATATTAAATCGCAATGGCAATATTGTTGAAAAAATTCAGTCGTTCATTGTTACTGTATACCAATCACATGTGGAGTGTGCGTGTGGCTGTGTGAATGTGTGTGTGTGTGTGTTCAAGGGGGCAGTTGCAGGGTCGGGTGGGGGTCTTCCTGTCATTTGAATTACCCTCTACATGTGGGGTCAATATGTGCCATGCTTGTGTGTGCGTGTGTGAGGAGTTGAAGTGGAGGGTGAGGGGTGGTCTTGGGAGTGGGTTGAGGGGGGGGGGGGTGCTGGAAAGTCAGTATAAAGGAGGTGGGGGGAGAAGCACCTTTGTCACTTAGCTCTCAAGTCTCTGGCAAAGACTGTGGACACTCTCCAGGGACATCGTCCGTTTTAGTGGCTTCTCCACGATTGTCTCCCCTGACAGTGTCTTCTCTTTCTGGACTGGAAGAACCACAAGGAAGCGTAAGAACCAGGACTTCTCAGCCCCAAGATGAGGATCTTCAACCTGCTCTACCTGCTCACGTTGCTGCTGATGCTGTTTGCCGCCGTTGTGGTGGTGGTGGTAGAACCAGCCTCCATCGTCAGGCCAAGTAAGAGGAAAGATGAAGAAGCCACACAACTTCCTGAAAGTGAAACCTGATTGAACTGGAAATGTCTGGCGTCTAGCGTTAAACCGAATGTACTTTTTTTACGGTTAAATTCACGATTTTTAAAAAAGTGAATAAGTAATAATACCATCGGTAACAAGCTAAAAGGTTACATGTTGAAATATAGTTGTCTCGTTTGGAAAATTACGTGTCAACACAATAAAGTTAAAAATTAAGAATCCGTCATTTTACCACCAGGAACAGGGCAGGATCCTTCTAAATGTTTGATGCCTTCGAATGCTACTAACGTCGTAAATAATGCAATGCACTGAGGGGGTGGGGGCGTAAATGATGGATATATTACATAAGTAACGCGTGGCATCGTTAATGAAATTGATCTAAAACAACTACATTTACTATTACTGGTATGTTTGAATCGTTATTTGTACGATGGTTAAAAGTATATTGCTTCGAAATCACCACAGCCAATCACCGCGACTGGTTGATGCGTTGATGTTTTACCGCCAACGTCGTAAATTATAAAACCCCCTTAAATGACGTCAATGATGGAAGCTAAATATACCACTTTATCAGTTCCAAATATCCGTATCGGTCGATAATAACGTTGAAATATGTATTTTGTCGACTACTTTAGTGCGTATTTGAGTTAAAAGTAACCAATCTTGACAGTTGCGTTCAAGCTTTACCGCCACCGTCGTAACTACTGCTGTATCTCAGAATGAACCGTTTATGGAGGGGTTTGACATTTGAAACGGGCAATAACATACAAAAAAACCCCAAACCAATAATGGCAGATACTCAACTACTTCGGTTTAAATCTTTTTTTTTTTTTTGGGGGGGGGGGTCGTTGATGTTGAATCGGCCAATCATCGCTATGTATCATCGTCAACGTTTAAGTGAGAATTCCACGGTGGTGTACAGTAAACGAAATGACTACACATTGCGCAAAGGGTTCAAACGTTAAGATAATAACTTAAAAAATACAAAAGCACTACTGTAGTAGAAGATTAACGTTGGATACAGATATTACATTCGAGTAACTTAAACACAAAAAGTACAATTTATTAGAATACATATATGTTAAATGTTTGGTGATTAAAACAAAAAAATAAGTAGACGTCTAGTGCATTCAAAATGTATCGCCAACCGCGTTCAGGACAAATTCCATTAGTGGGTTTGTTTTTATTGATATGATGAATTAAAAATGACGATGAACGTAAAGTATTTAAGATGAACCTTCAGTTTTGTTCTATAACTACGACGAATTAAAAATAAGGAAAGCGTCGATTTTCGTTGTGTTTTACCCGTCAATGTGTTCACTTCCCCCACAAAGCGTCGTAAATCGAAGCGTTTCAGACCCGAGGAGCTGAAAACAGCATGCGTGGGCACATTGGATTCCTTTTTACGATTGGCTTTGATTACACACTTAACTGTACCGTAACAGGTGCGATGTATAAAATGAGAGCTTGGAGGCTTGAGGATCCTCATCAGATGAGTACCACCGCCGGGGATCACACAACCCGGCGGGTCTCCATTGTCGGGTGCTTTTGTTAATCCTGGCGTTAAGATTCCATGCAAATACACTCCCGAGCTTTTATTAAACAAAATGACACGGGAGGAGTATCTAAAGACGCGTATGCCTCCAGGCTTGGTGTTCTCTCTCTGCCAGGGTAGGGGGAAGGGGGAAGTCATAAAGTCATCTGGCACTTTTTATGCTCTTCCTGGGCTTGGCCGGCAGCCTGTGAACGTTGGGAGCAGAGTGTATTTATTAGGGACGTTTGGAAATAGTCATGGGTTTGGTGGCTATGTTCCACTTTATTAGGGAAGGAGTGAGAGCGCGAGGCAATGACGTGTTTTTGGGATGGCTAATCGTGATTCCATCTTCCCCATTAAACGTCGTGAAATGTATCATCATAACAATAACTATGCAGTAAATTACTATTTTAGAATGACAAAATCAACCGCTTTCTGTTGCAGATTTCTTCAATGTGAGGAGAAAGTATCACCGACACTTTTGCCTGCATCGACGATGTCTTCCTCTGCACTCCAGAGTACCCTTCCCCTGACGACACCGATGAGGACGGGACATCTTGTGGAGATTTCAAGGAGGCCATAGGTGGGCAAACACATTTAATAGCCTTTGAGGAATGTGCCCAAAATGGCTGCTTCGGTGCCAAATCAACGACTTCCTACTAAATTTCGGGCATGTGTCCTTGAGACTTGTCCATGCGTCCTGTTTTGATGGACATGTCCAACAGATTTTATGCTGATTGGTGAAACTGGTGATGGGAGCTTTTTTTTTTCCTTCAAAATTTCCAGTCCCTTTTCTTTAAAAAAAATTATCACTTTTCTTGGTATTGGACAAAAAATGGCTGCTTCGAACCAAATTGTCTGACTTCCATCCTAACCATGGAAAGGGGCTTGCAAAGTTAGATAAATTAGCCTCCCGATATCTGTCACACCAAATGACACAAACCCGTACATCACAAACGGATGCATTAAAACGTCTCAAAGACCCACAAATTGAACAGGAAGTCATCCATTTTAATTTCAAGCAGCCACTGCGCTCCCTGTAGCAGCCCTGGCAAGTTAGAAAAAATAGCCCCAGACACCAGCCAAAAAAAAACAAGTGACCCCAAATTAGGTGGACATATCTGTCATAACAGGATGCATGAAAGTTTCACAGATCCATGCCTGAAATTGAACAGCAAGTCAGCCAGTCTGAGTTTAAGTTGCCATTTAGTGGCAAATTCCACATCTTCTACTTTGACAAATTGTCCCAAATGAACCCCAAATGGAAACAGCTATCCTCACCAGATGATAATTTGCTAGGCTTTTTTTTGGGGGGTGGGGTGGGGGGGGGTGACACCATGTAATGTGATCAGAGCATCGGTGTCAAGAGTTTGATCGTCATTTCGCCAGTTGGCCATGAAAGAGTGGGTGTGAGTGCCCCCTTCATCACAGATTTCAGCTTCTCCTTGAAATAATTTCCTCCCCGTCTCTCCTCGTGGGTACCGGAGGCTGCAGGTGGCACTTGATTAGGTGTGTGTGATGAGTGGCAGAGGTGCGCGGACCCCTGGTTGACATAAATCCGGCTAATGACACAGAAGAAGGATTAAGAGCGGCGCAGGAATGCCTGAGCCCCTTGTTTATGTCGGGGCAGGCACGCTCATACACCGTGAACTGGAGTTTACCTCCCTTTCTGTCAGCTGGGGCTCCTGATTTGACCACTGTTACTTTCCGTTGCAGGTTTGACACTCAGGAACGTGAAGGAATACGGTACGGGGACCTTGCACGTGTAAGCCCCAATAACACAAAGACTCCTGATAAAAATAATGACGACAGAAGGGGAGACACAAGAGACTCTCTTGGAAACGTTCGAGCGCCTTGCCTCATCACGAAGACCAAGAACGAAACAAAAATCAAGTCTGCAATCAAGAAAAACCCGTGAGGTTCGGTGCTTGAGAAACGCGCTGGACTCAACCCACTGTGGACCAAAGAGCTGCTTCCAGCCATGCTGTTGACAAATGTGTACATATTTATACTGTCCAATGCATTGGATGCACTTCAAACGTTTATTAAATACATTTTATTCCTTTTAATAATTAGAAAAAAGGTTCAAGTGTGTGTGTTTTTTTTGAGGGGGTGTATTTGTCATCTTGGGCTGGGCGATAACAGCCTAAAATCCAAGTCACCGTCTAAATTGTATCCTTTTTTTACAGCAGGTCTGAACAATTGATCAAATTCAAATCGGCATTGTAATGTCGTAGAATGAAAGTTTCTAATCGCAAAGGAAAAAAACAAAACAAAACATTTAGGTATAATAAATCATATCTAAATACCATAAAATAGTTTACTGTTAAACTTGTTGAGAAAAATTACATGGGAAGAAGACAAAAATAGTCACATAGTAAATCGCTATCACAACATTGAGGGAGGGGAATGTAATTCGATTATTTTTCAAAATGATTCAGCCCTACTTTACAATATAAACATACGTTTAAAAAGGAGAATGAAAGTATTTTTAAATAAGTTGCAGGGTACCTTAGCCAAGCGAATAGATTCTTAAAAAGTAAAAAAAAAAAAAAAATGTAATTTGGAGGAAATTATTGAACAGATCTCCAAATTTCAAATCAAAACTCTGCACTGTAATGCAAAATACAGAAAACACAAATAATACCGCATGTATACATACACATACAGATGTACAGTATATACTGTGAATATTTAATTGAACAATTTACAAGACACAGGAGACCCCCACTATTCGCAGGGGGATAGGGATCCGGTCCATCCACAAATAGTAAAAATCCACAAATAACTGACATCCCTTATAACTACCATGAAAAAAAGGATATATTTCTTTCAAAGTTGGGGGGGAAAAAACCCCGAATAAGCGGTAGACTGGGTCAGAGGAGAGGGAAAAAAAACAAAAACAAAAAAAAAAACAATCACGAAAAAAATTCCATGAGCAACAGGGAATAGGTCCACCCTCCAAAAATTGTGAATACCCAACAGGGAGTCTGTGAGGCGCCGCTCCGCTGTCCAGCCTAAAGAGTCAAGTCAGCTGCAGGGCTAAGACTCACATGGTCAAAGCAGTTGTAAAAAAAAAAAATGCTTTGCCCTGTACTCCAAGTTCCTTTTGAAAAAAAAAAAAAAGCGCTGCTGTGTAGAAAGAAAAAAAATTAGCAGAAGTGCAAACATTTATGAACATTTTTAAGCTCACGATGTACAATAAAGTCATCTTTGGCTATGACTGCAGCATTGACATTTTAATAGTCTCCTTAAAAAACACACACACACACACAAAAAGGGGGTGGCGGGTAACAGCCTTCCTGGGATGCTCT